TCCTCGAGGTCAGCTTCTTGGGCTAGCTGGACTTTCTCCAAACGTTTGATGGTTTCTTGTAGGGAGGAAATTTGTTGTTCCAACATACTGACGAGGTAACGGATTTCATATTATCTGACACCAAATTTCCAACACTATCATGGACAACTTTCTTTATTTCATTATCATTTTCTATGAAATGTTTCATCTGCGGCTCGAGTTGGGAATTTATTTCAAGTGCAATCGAATTTGAAAGTACAGCAGAAAGTGCGTCAGAGACCGGCTTGACCAGTAGCTGCACCAGGTGATTGACAAATGACGGTTGAGACATAGCTTGATAAATAGCGTCAGAAAGTTCACACACATGTTCCGACACCTGGTGTAGCTGGTGCTGAGACTGGGCATCAGGAGGGGAATCGTAAGGTTGGAGCCGTTTGGAATCCACTTGAACAGAGTTATCGGGTGATATGAAGTCAATTGTCCGTTTGCCGGACAACACAGGTGTAGTGTATGCGGTAGCTTGGTCGTGAGTGATCAACTCACCTGACACAGGCGTGTTAATCTGGGCAGGTGTTTCGCTTGACTGACCGCTCATAGTCTATATTAACGTACCGGGATCAAACACAAATATCAAAATACGGCTTTTAGATATTACAAAATCGCAAACAGACTTGGATAACGTGAAATAAGATTGTGACCTCTCCTGCCGGTCAAGGAAATATAGAGAACTATTGCATCAATCACTGTACATACCGTCAATCATGTCACCACTGCTTTTTGCTGTCTGCCTTGCTAAGCCATCACGTGACACCTCATAAATCATAAATCCATATGATGAAACAATCATCTAAAAATCTCTTCCTGTTGTTTAAGTACTGGCGAAATTCGTTGTTCCATATTTCCTCTGATTTTTATGCCAAAGTGTTTCTAGGTATCCCAGTGTGAGGGTTGCGTATGTCGGTGTCATCATGGTACCCATTGCGGCTCCTTTTATTTGTAGAAAGTGTTCGCCATTAAATGTAAATGTGTTATTTTTCAGAATAATTTCTGTTGCTTCTAGAATAAAGTTTTTCGTAAACCGACTGTTAATTTTGTCCGGGCATCTTTCAAATCCAATACTTTACTGCTTTTAGTCCAAGTTCGGCAATAATATTGGTGTATAAATTGACTACATCTAGAGTTACCAGTTCGGCAGTAATATTGGTGTATAAATTGACTACATCTAGAGTTACCAGTTCGGCAGTAATATTGGTGTATAAATTGACTACATCTAGAGTTACCAGTTCGGCAGTAATATTGGTGTATAAATTGACTACATCTAGAGTTACCAGTTCGGCAGTAATATTGGTGTATAAATTGACTACATCTAGAGTTACCAGTTCGGCAGTAGTATTGGTGTATAAATTGACTACATCTAGAGTTACCAGTTCGGCAGTAATATTGGTGTATAAATTGACTACATCTAGAGTTACCAGTTCGGTATTTTCGTGAACCTTTTCTGGAAGATGCGAGAGGAAATCTAGATCATCCCTTACAAAGCTATTGACTTCTGTGCATATTGGTTTTAGTCCGCAAGGTTGCTAAGCCTTTGGGTCGGTGCGTTTGGTCCACTAACAATTGGTCTAGACGTGAGATCTTCTGGATTTGGACAGGTTATGTAATCTGAATTCTGCCATTTTCGATTCATCTTTTTTGCCAGATTTGTGGATTTTAGGTAGTCCATAAAAGCTTTGTAATCGAAATTAGTTTAGTAGTCTCGTTCGTGTTCAGTTATTTCCGTAGTTGATAGATGATCCTTTATTAGTTTATTTATATTCTGCATTGATCGTTTGTCTTGGTATATATACATATACATACATTTTGTATTAACGATAAAGCTTTAAGTTTCCTATGTGATAAAATTTCAGGTTAACCGTTCTAATTCATTATAAATTGATATGGAAAGTAATCTCAGTTTTCTGCCACTAAAACTCGGCAAAATTGTTTCCGGAACCAAATAACTCGTGTGGTAATTTGCTGTGGCACCGGTCCTTACAGCTTGTTCAAGAAGTTTGAAAATACGCATTTGAAATTGATTGTTTGTAACCCTCTTTGTGGTTGGATGAACTTCTTTGGTATCTCCCTTAGAATATGGTCACACTTGTGATATTCAGCTGTTGAAATACGGTATTTATCTGTATCTATTTGCTGTTCTATTGAGTTCAGCGTATTCTCATAATATAGCATAGTCACAAACCAAAAGGTATTAGCATATACAATAAATGTTAAATGCGTAATTATCAAATAAGTGATGAAAAATCGTCAAAAACTTCCAGAGAAATGCCCGAATCGGTGTCCAGAATGTAAACTAAGGGCACTTAACTCTGTTTAACCGACGCTATTCTTTGATATGATCACGGAAGTTCAAACATTGAAAAAAAAATCTTGGACATAAGTCCAAGGGAACATAGATGCTGAAATTGAAGAAAACTTTGGTACGGACTGATTACAACTTAAAGATGATGAGTGTTTCTGTTACCTACATACAGGGAAGGAAAGAATCACTATACTACCTAATCTATTACACTATCTTATACTACTTTACCCGGAGTTTTCTCAGTACCCTCCATTACCAAGTTCGACCCGTAGCATAATGCAGTTTAATTTACTATTTGAGTCTGAAGTGTATTTAATCCTATGTTTAAGATGCCATTCACTTGTGTGTCAGGTACCATGTTTAGATAGAAGATACTGTGTTGTAGAGGTATGTTTAGTTTGGAGAAGATCCTGTGTTGTAGAGGTATGTTTAGATAGAAGATCCTGTGTTGTAGAGGTATGTTTAGATAGAAGATACTGTGTTGTAGAGGTATGTTTAGTTAGGAGAAGATCCTGTGTTGTAGAGGTATGTTTAGTTAGGAGATCCTGTGTTGTAGAGGTATGTTTAGATGGAAGATCCTGTGTTGTAGAAGTATGTTTAGATGGAAGATCCTGTGTTGTAGAGGTATGTTTAGTTAGGAGAAGATCCCGTGTTGTAGAGGTATGTTTAAATGGAAGATCCTGTGTTGTAGAGGTATGTTTAGATGGAAGATCCTGTGTTGTAGAGGTATGTTTAAATGGAAGATCCTGTGTTGTAGAGGTATGTTTAGATGGAAGATCCTGTGTTGTAGAGGTATGTTTAGTTAGGAGAAGATCCTGTGTTGTAGAGGTATGTTTAGATGGAAGATCCTGTGTTGTAGAGGTATGTTTAGTTAGGAGAAGATCCTGTGTTGTAGAGGTATGTTTAGTTAGGAGAAGATCCCGTGTTGTAGAGGTATGTTTAGATGGAAGATCCTGTGTTGTAGAGGTATGTTTAGAGAGAAGATCCTGTGTTGTAGAGGTATGTTTAGTTAGGAGAAGATCCTGTGTTGTAGAGGTATGTTTAGTTAGGAGAAGATCATGTGTTGTAGAGGTAAGTTTAGTTAGGAGAAGTTCCTGTGTTGTAGAGGTATGTTTAGATGGAAGATCCTGTGTTGTAGAGGTATGTTTAGTTAGGAGAAGATCCTGTGTTGTAGAGGTAAGTTTAGTAAGGAGAAGTTCCTGTGTTGTAGAGGTATGTTTAGATGGAAGATCCTGTGTTGTAGAGGTATGTTTAGTTAGGAGAAGATCCTGTGTTGTAGAGGTATGTTTAGTTAGGAGAAGATCCTGTGTTGTAGAGGTATGTTTAGATGGAAGATCCTGTGTTGTAGAGGTATGTTTAGTTAGGAGAAGATCCTGTGTTGTAGAGGTATGTTTAGTTAGGAGAAGATCCCGTGTTGTAGAGGTATGTTTAGATGGAAGATCCATGGTTGTAGATGTTTAGTTAGGAGAAGATCATGTATTGTAGAAGTATGTTTAGTTAGGAGAAGATCCTGTGTTGTAGATGTATGTTTAGTTAGGAGATCATGTATTGTAGAAGTATGTTTAGTTAGGAGAAGATCCTATATCTTAAAGGTATTATCGGAGAACAAGGACAACAAAGATGAAATGTTCTTTACACTTTATTCCATCAGTATTTGTAATGTACATAACGAGTAAATAGTTTATTGACAGCGTTTACGTCATGACCTGACCAACGTCACCAGTTGTTACTAAAAACGGCACAGCGTTTACGTCATGACCTGACCAACGTCACCAGTTGTCACTAAAAATGGCACAGCGTTTACGTCATGACCTGACCTACGTCACCAGTTGTTATTAAAAACGGCACAGCGTTTACGTCATGACCTACGTCACCAGTTCACCCTAAAGACGGCACAATACTGATCTAACTTGAAAGAGGACAAAATATTTGTGCGTTTCGTTTAGATACAATCCATCTGTCAGGGCATTCAATTTACTGAACGGGTTTACATCCACTTTCAGCGGACGAATCTCCATCCATCGTGACCTAATTATACATACTGGTATTATCACGTGACCGGAACTCCTGCATCACACTACGTAATAATATGCTGTATCTATAGTTTAATACTTCACCATTTTGATTATAAACCTTACAGCTGGTTAAAATTGGAAACTAGTAAACTGGAATAACATAATGCATAGATACTTTGAACTCTGGGAATAAAGTGATATATACTGTTGTTTATTTTAGAACAACATCATAGTATTATATATTTCTTAACACAATAGAACAGATTATATCAATGGGACAATTTAATATACACTTTGTTACTTAGTATAGAATATTTCACGTAGATAATCTGATACATTTATCTTTCACGAAATAGGACAATATAATATCCAAATACTTTAATATAGACAAGATGTCCCTGGATATAGAACAAATTAGTACTCCAACACACGATAGTCTCGGATTAATGATCAGTTCACCATTAACACGTCGTGACACAAAACGACAGTCTCGGATTAATTACCATTTCACCATTAACACGTCGTGACACAACACGACAGTCTCGGATTAATGACCATTTCACCATAAACATGTCGTGACATGACACGACAGTCTCGGATTAATGACTATTTCACCATTAACACGTCGTGACACAACATGACAGTCTCGGATTAATTACCATTTCACCATTAACACGTCGTGACACAACATGACAGTCTCGGATTAATGACCATGTCACCATTAAAACGTCGTGACACAACATGATAGTCTCGGATTAATGACCATTTCACCATTAACATGTCGTGCAACAACATGATAGAGTCGGCTTAATGATTATTTCACCATTAACACGTCGAGACACAACCTGATAGTGTCGGATTAATGACCATTTCACCATTAAAACGTCGTGACACAACACGACAGTCTCGGATTCGGATTAATGACTATTTCACCATTAACACGTCGTGACACAACATGACAGTCTCGGATTAATGATAATTTTACCATTAACATGTCGTGTCACAATATGACAGTTTCGGATTAATGACCATTTCACCATTAACATGTGTCAGAATATGACAGTCTCGGATTAATGACCATTTCACCATTAACATGTGTCACAATATGACAGTCTCGGATTGATGATAATTTTACCATTAACACGTCGTGACACAACATGACAGTCTCGGATTAATGATAATTTTACCATTAACATGTAGTGACACAAACACGTGTGACATAACACTTCTGATGGGGGTTTAATTTTTGTTTTCTCTACCTTTCAAAACAGGATAAATACCAAACAACCAACCCTAACACATCTGTCATGTCGTACAAAAATCGACAAGGCCAGTCCTCACTTGTCATATCTTCATAACATTTCATTATATAACACTGGGTACAGTAACTCCAGAGAACATATCATTCTGTAAGTAAAGTGTAGGACATGACACTCTGACTCTTGTATGGAAAACCATACCTTGTACACGTAACACGTGGATTGTGTATGATAGTGTAGTACTTGATACAGTCGACCCATGTAATGACGGGCGGTTTTCAGTTTACAACTTACGTCACGTTCTGGAAACGACATATACTTTACTGATGTAATCATATGGCACGTCACTTCCTGGATACAAGATATCCTTAACTGATACGTCACCGTTCTGTAAAACATACGGCACGTCACTTCCTGGATACAAAATATCCTTAACTGATACGTCACCGTTCTGTAAAACATGCGTCACGTCACTTCCTGGATACAAGATATCCTTAACTGATACGTCACCGTTCCGAAAAACATACGGCACGTCACTTCCTGGATACAAAACATCCATTACTGATACATCACCATTCCGAAAAACATACGGCACGTCACTTCCTGGATACAAAACATCCATTACTGATACGTCACCGTTCCGTAAAACATACGGCACGTCACTTCCTGGATACAAAACATCCTTAACTGATACGTCACCGTTCCGTAAAACATACGGCACGTCACTTCCTGGATACAAGACATTCTTAACTGATACGTCACCGTTCGGTAAAACATACGGTACGTCATTTCCTGGATACAAGACATTCTAAACTAATACGTCACCGTTCCGAAAAACATACGGCACGTCACTTCCTGGATACAAGATATCCTTAACTTTACGTCACCGTTCCGTAAAACATACGGCACGTCACTTCCTGGATATAAGATACAGATACGCTACCGTTCCGTAAAACATTCTCGACTATTTCAGCATAACTAAAATGATAGTGTGATTCTATCCCGTATAGATAGACGGTCCATTCTCTCCTTTATTATCTTGTACATCTTCGATCAAACAGGGAAACAATGTACACAGCATTGTTTGAACATTTATAAACGTCGTAACATTCTGGAACTTATAGCATGTTATACGGCAGTTGTAGGATATCTTAATCGTTCAAACACGTGACCACGACACGTTTTAAACTCGATATCACACATGATGTGGACGACTACCTGGTTCAGATCTAAACTTTGCCCTCTACAATGATTTCTCCGCCATTGTCCGTTTGTTGGCTGACGTTTTGAGTGTCGTTCTGGGGTTCTATGATCCTGCAGAATCGTGCTATCCTAGCCATGAGATGCCATACCTCCAAACGGAACTGTGACGAAGACAGTAAATATATTTCTGTCTTTATTGAATATGTGATAAACTGGAGGAAGGAGGCTACCGGATTGTAGATAGGGTGCATGATAAAAAACACCCGGATAATGCTGTTAGGTACGTCTAGTAGAACCGTGGTAAAGGCAACACACAAGAGGGAGGGAGTTGTGCGGAACTCCTTTTCCTGGGGTAAACATGTCCTCTGACGCCGGACAAATTGTTCTTGTTCCGGCGAATTGGAACGACTGTAATATATACATGTTTTCACCGATATAAGGCACGATAAAATCAAGATAGTCGTCAGGGGTATAACAGCCACGAGGAAGGCATCCATTCGGGTGAGCTTTTCAAACGGTTGAAGTAGATTTTCGTCAGGCCATGGGACACAATATAACTTATCCGGACTAGGACCAATGGTCCACGTGATATAATGATAACACACAATAGACAATACAGTGAGCGCCGCGATCACACATTTGGCTCGGAACACAGTACAGAAATAAGACTTCTTACGTGGCCAGCACAGACCTATACTCTTCTCTATTACAAGCGCTGCGAGGAACCAGATTGACAGAAATGTGGACACGTGGTTTAAGTACATAATTATTTGGCAGGAGCCGTGTATATGGTAAATCGGAACTTCAAACACCGGAAGATGCGTGAGCATCTTACTACAGAGGAAACCACTGTCTGCCATAGCAATGGCCGCCATGTACCTGGAGGAGGAGGCCTTGCGAAGCTTGGTTCGCCAAAACAAATAAAAGCTGAGTAAATTAAGAGGAAGTCCGAATGCTACTACGACAGGTACCGCCCATTTCTGGAAAAGATAGAGCCGTTCGATATCTTCAATGGACACCTCAGGCATCGACATGGTCATATATATCGTATAATTCAAAATGTGTCGTACACTATTCCACAGATATCTTCACAGTACACAGGTAACGTAAATCAAGGTACTTCAAAATATTCTCGTGCACTATTCCACAGATGATATCTTCACAGTACACAGGTAACGTAAATCAAGGTACTTCAAAATATTCTCGTGCACTATTCCACAGATGATATCTCCACAGTACACAGGTAACGTAAATCAAGGTACTTCAAAATGTTCTCGTGCACTATTCCACAGATGATATCTCCACAGTACACAGGTAACATAAATCTAAGAATGTATTTTAAAATATGTCGTTATTACGACGTTTTTTCCGTACGTCATTGTGAAGAGCTGTAGTTTCCTGCCCATACCCAGCTCAATCTGCCCACTGCTGTGGATTATGTATTCCGCTGTTGTGTTCTAACGTTACCTTTGCATGTCTACAACACGTTAGCGTTAGACACAGCGGTAACTGGTCTGACTGGCATGGGAAGGAAGCTGGCATCGACAGAGAAAACGCTGAAACGATAAAAAAAACATTGATATTAATGCAAGGTAATTCAGCATCGAGTAACACATATATCTATAGCCAGTTGTAGAATTAGTATCGGGTAACACATATATCTATAGCCGGCAGTAGTATTAGTATCGGGTAACACATATATCTATAGTCCGGCAGTAGTATTAGTATCGGGAAACACATATTTCTATAGCCAGTGGTAGAATTAGTATCGGGCAACACATACATCTATAGCCGGTGGTAGAATTAGTATCGGGTAACACATATATCTATAGTCCGGCAGTAGTATTAGTATCGGGTAACACATATTCATCCCATTTCATTTCAATAAAAGTAGTTTCTTATCTTCTGTCCTGACTTTTAAAGCAATAAGACTTGCTCCGAGTTATTCCTTAACCAACAGACAAGCGAGACTAGCTCCGAGTTATTCCTCAACCAACAGACAAGAGAGACTAGCTCCGAGTTATTCCTCAAGCAACAGACAAGCGAGACTAGCTCCGAGTTATTCCTCAACCAACAGACAAGAGAGACTAGCTTCGAGTTATTCCTCAACCAACAGACAAGAGAGACTAGCTTCGAGTTATCCCTCAACCAACAGACAAGAGAGACTAGCTCCGAGTTATTCCTCAACCAACAGACAAGCGAGACTAGCTTCGATTTACTCATCAACCAACAGACAAGAGAGACTAGCTCCGAGTTATTCCTCAACCAACAGACAAGCGAGACTAGCCCCGAGTTATCCCTCAACCAACAGACAAGCGAGACTAGCCCCGAGTTATTCCTCAACCAACAGACAAGAGAGACTAGCTCCGAGTTATTCCTCAACCAACAGACAAGAGAGACTAGCTCCGAGTTATTCCTCAACCAACAGACAAGAGAGACTAGCTCCGAGTCATCCCTCAACCAACAGACTAGAGAGACTAGCTCCGAGTTATTCCTCAACCAACAGACAAGAGAGACTAGCCCCGAGTTATTCCTCAACCAACAGACAAGCGAGACTAGCTCCGAGTTATTCCTCAACCAACAGACAAGAGGGACTAGCTCTAAGTTTCTTTCGCAATTTTAATTTCCAATGGACATTGTCGTCTATCAACTGTTAAAACAAGATATTCAGACAAAACATTCCGTACAATTTTTTGATCATGAAGCCACTGTGGTTAATTCAGATTTTGTGAAAGTCCATGATTCAACAAAGAATGTAAACAGAGTGTTAAATAAAGAATTATCTGGTCTGCTTGTTAGCAAATCCACGAGACGGAGGAAGAAAGTGATGTCACAATAAGTATAATATGAATTACATTTTCGGAATTTTGATTTAATAAGTTCTAAAGAAATACGTTGGAAACAACTGTGATATGCACGATAGTTATAGAATCCACGATAAATTGTTATTTTGATCGTTAAATCCCCAAACAGATGTTTTATTTGACCCCCCTCCCGAAGAGGAATTAAGAAATATGTATCATCTGACAGAGTAACATGATACAATGGATTCCATGAATTCCATCTCTTGTGTCCTTGTCCCTTACTGATTGCTCTCATTCTCACCCATTCGCTGTATTGCTGCTTGGTGTGAAACTGTGACTCACTTTACAGGTTTTGATTTCGAAGTCATGTTTTGTTTACAGCCAAAAGGCGGGTTGATGCGTACTCGTGCAGGTCATATTGCACTTGTATTTGCATCTAAAATGTTGGTTGAATGATTCGGAATTTCCTGGCAATTTACAACGTAATTAAAAATGCATTAAATGGAGATATTTTGCCAATATAAAGAGATGCAGAGTTCATAAGGAATATAGAACCACAATTCCACTAAGATTTTATGACATGATAAACAAACTTGACTAAAGTGTCCCTTTAAATCAATTCTTTATTGTTGTATACAGCGCCACTGGGACGAATAGTCTCTGTAGTAAAAGTTTAATGATGGTGATCCGCTATTACGTAACGTTACGGTAAAATGCCTATTTCGTTTGAGTTTTGTATATTTATTAATTTGAATTTCAATATTTGAAAGCAACCAAAACACACTTTGCCATGCAAGAAAAATAGACTTTACTTTTCATTGCTTCGTACGAAAATTGGACACGCCATCTCTCTAATCAAGCAATTATCTGTAGTGAGAACACAGCAGCAATTATTTAACCCTAAAACCATTACATCACTTCTCCTAACTAGTACGGTTCAATAATGACCTCTTCCTGTTTAGCTTTTAAGGTTACTTTGGACTTTCCAAAAAAAAACAAAAAAAAAAAACACGGCTGATGTCTGTTGCTGTTAGAGATGACAAGACAACATGCCGAGTTACTGTGTCTCACAAGATGTGGAATTATCGCAATGAAAACGGTTTGCTGACTTGACTTTTTATCAAGTAAATGTAGCGCACCATGCTCCTTCACTGGTTCTGCAACTCACCATCACGCAACCAGAGATTAATTAAGGCGATCATAACAATTTTGAAACCATTCACAGCACAGCCCCTGTGTGTATACGACCGCTAAACTCCAGCTCATGCGATACCAAATCATAAAAAAAGTTTCATTACGACAAAGTGGCTTTTTCGTTTCACTAATACAATGCGTTGAAATATTTTGTTTTAGCATTAGCGTGGCTCCATGTCGAATAATTTGGGGTAATACTGCTTTCAGTTCAAGTCTAATGAGCATTGGATAAACCGTTCGCAGTGACGTCAACTGTAATGACCAAAACACTTTTAGTAGTAAACCCGACCCGAGCCTGGTTTTTCTGCCAAGAATCGACGATGTACCCAGTATGTGTGAAGTTGACACGTAAAATCTCCTGACAGAGATCGATGATCTACCCAGTATGACGTGAAGTTGACACGGTAACTCTCGTCTGACAGAGATCGATGATCTACCCAGTATGACTTGAAGTTGACACGGTAACTCTCGTCTGGCAGAGATCGATGATCTACCCAGTATGACGTGAAGTTGACACGGTAACTCTCGTCTGACAGAGATCGATGATCTACCCAGTATGACGTGAAGTTGACACGGTAACTCTCGTCTGACAGAGATCGATGATCACCCAGTATGACGTGAAGTTGACACGGTAACTCTCTCGTCTGACAGAGGTCGATGATCTACCCAGTATGACGTGAAGTTGACACGGTAACTCTCGTCTGACAGAGATCGATGATCTACCCAGTATGACGTGAAGTTGACACGGTAACTCTCTCGTCTGACAGAGGTCGATGATCTACCCAGTATGACGTGAAGTTGACACGGTAACTCTCGTCTGACAGAGGTCGATGATCACTCAGTATAACGTGAAGTTGACACGGTAACTCTCGTCTGACAGAGGTCGATGATCACCCAGTATAACGTGAAGTTGACACGCTAACTCTCGTCTGACAGAGGTCGATGATCACCCAGTATGACGTGAAGTTGACACGGTAACTCTCTCGTCTGACAGAGGTCGATGATCTACTCAGTATGACGTGAAGTTGACACGGTAACTCTCTCGTCTGACAGAGGTCGATGATCTACTCAGTATGACGTGAAGTTGACACGGTAACTCTCTCGTCTGACAGAGGTCGATGATCTACTCAGTATGACGTGAAGTTGACACGGTAACTCTTGTCTGACAGAGATCGATGATCACCCAGTATGACGTAGGTTGACACGGTAACTCTCTCGTCTGACAGAGGTCGATGATCACCCAGTATGACGTGAAGTTGACACGGTAACTCTCTCGTCTGACAGAGGTCGATGATCTACTCAGTATGACGTGAAGTTGACACGGTAACTCTCTCGGCTGACAGAGGTCGATGATCTACTCAGTATGACGTGAAGTTGACACGGTAACTCTCTCGTCTGACAGAGGTCGATGATCTACTCAGTATGACGTGAAGTTGACACGGTAACTCTCTCGTCTGACAGAGGTCGATGATCTACTCAGTATGACGTGAAGTTGACACGGTAACTCTTGTCTGACAGAGATCGATGATCACCCAGTATGACGTAGGTTGACACGGTAACTCTCTCGTCTGACAGAGGTCGATGATCACCCAGTATGACGTGAAGTTGACACGGTAACTCTCTCTTCTGACAGAGGTCGATGATCTACTCAGTATGACGTGAAGTTGACACGGTAACTCTCTCGGCTGACAGAGGTCGATGATCTACTCAGTATGACGTGAAGTTGACACGGTAACTCTCTCGTCTGACAGAGGTCGATGATCTACTCAGTATGACGTGAAGTTGACACGGTAACTCTCTCGTCTGACAGAGGTCGATGATCACCCAGTATGACGTGAAGTTGACACGGTAACTCTTGTCTGACAGAGATCGATGATCACCCAGTATGACGTAGGTTGACACGGTAACTCTCTCGTCTGACAGAGGTCGATGATCACCCAGTATGACGTGAAGTTGACACGGTAACTCTCTCGTCTGACAGAGGTCGATGATCTACCCAGTATGACGTGAAGTTGACACGGTAACTCATGTCTGACATAGATCGATGATCTACTCAGTATGACGTGAAGTTGACACGGTAACTCTCTCGTCTGACAGAGATCGATGATCTACCCAGTATAACGTGAAGTTGACACGGTAACTCTTGTCTGACAGAGATCGATGATCACCCAGTATGACGTGAAGTTGACACGGTAACTCTCGTCTGACAGAGGTCGATGATCTACCCAGTATGACGTGAAGTTGACACGGTAACTCTCGTCTGACAGAGGTCGATGATCACCCAGTATGACGTGAAGTTGACACGGTAACTCTCTCGTCTGACAGAGGTCGATGATCACCCAGTATGACGTGAAGTTGACACGGTAACTCTCTCGTCTGACAGAGGTCGATGATCTACCCAGTATGACGTGAAGTTGACACGGTAACTCTCGTCTGACAGAGATCGATGATCTACCCAGTATGACGTGAAGTTGACACGGTAACTCTTGCCTGACAGAGATCGATGATCTACCCAGTATGACGTGAAGTTGACACGGTAACTCTCGTCTGACAGAGGTCGATGATCTACCCAGTATGACGTGAAGTTGACACGTAAAATCTCGTCTGACAGAGATCGATGATCTACCCAGTATGACGTGAAGTTGACACGGTAACTCTCGTCTGACAGAGATCGATGATCTACCCAGTATGACTTGAAGTTGACACGGTAACTCTCGTCTGACAGAGATCGATGATCTACCCAGTATGACGTGAAGTTGACACGGTAACTCTCGTCTGACAGAGATCGATGATCTACCCAGTATGACGTGAAGTTGACACGGTAACTCTCGTCTGACAGAGGTCGATGATCTACCCAGTATGACGTGAAGTTGACACGTAAAATCTCGTCTGACAGAGATCGATGATCTACCCAGTATGACGTGAAGTTGACACGGTAACTCCTGTCGTCAGTGGTGATTCTATACATATTTTTCAATTTCTCGGGAAACTTGTAATTATAATCAAATAAATGTTCCCACGTAAGAGTGAGTTAAAACGAAAACTTGTGACGCGGAAGTCATATCTTTGGTACCGCATACATATTTAACTTGTAGTGATAGAAAAGTACAGCACCGATAACGATTAAGTTTTAATCATCTATTGTTTGAAAAGTACACATGAAAAACGCCTTGGTCGATTTTGATTTTATAACGAAACTTGATGATGCTGTTGAACACTTCCTAAGCTACATTTACGAGTCCCGTTTCGATGCTTATAATTAGATGATAGTGTCGTGCGGTGCTTCCAACGTAAAAACTGGAGATCTCTTCTGGTGGAACTTATAGTGCAGGATTTAAACACACTATTATCGTTGGTTTGGTGTGTCGTGGGGCTTACAACTCGGACAGAAAAATTAATGGTGACAAAAGATAACAGAGAACAAAAGAGGACAATAGTGAGCGAGAAAATAGAATCAAATGGCGAGCAAGATAAAATAGTAAAGGACAATCGAGAGAGATAAAATAGAGCAATAGAGCCCGAGAGAAAATTGTAGAGGAAAATAAAGAAAGAGATGATATAGTAGATGACAATAGTGAGAGAGAGAGATAAAATTGTAGAGAACAATAGTGAGCGAGATGAAATA